TAAAAAAAAAAAAAAAAAAAAAAAAAAAGATCCTAATGCTGAAGACACCATCTACTCATGTCATCAACATCAAACACATAGAATTTGAGCTGGTATCCAAATAGAAGCTTTACCCCAGCTGACTAGCATTCATGGTGCTATAAGTTACTTGGCATGCTACCAGAGAAGAAAGTTAATCAGCATCACCCATCTACAAATCCTGTAACCTACAACAATGACCTGCCTGCAGGGTATACTAGTGTTATTGGAGTAACCAACCACATTTTTTTATTCGACTTACCATGAGATGTAACCCATATGTGACACTGCTTAAGTGACCAAGCACTTGAAGTAGGTCATGGACATAGGAGAACATCTACTGCTATTCTGCTAAAAGAACATTGCAATAAAATGACTGCTAATGGCATATTGCTATACCTATAAATCAGTACTCCACACAACCCTCATCAGAGATGTTTCTTGCAGTGGGCAGTAATTAACACAGAGACTCACAACTGGACAATGCGCAGAGAATGAGACTTGAAAGACTCAGGGTCTAAATGAAATATCTTCATCAAACTCCTCCATCCCCAAGTCTCAAGGATCTACGCAGAAGGTAGAAAGACTGTAAAGGCAGAGCCAGGCACAACGGAAATGACATATATGAACTCATGCAGACTGTGGGACCACACGTAAGACCTCTATAAGTTCAAGCTAGATGAGGTACCAGCACTGAGAGGGATAAGTCGACATAGAGTCCCACCCCTAAGCAAGAAGCTATTTGCAGTGGATACCTCCTGAGAAATCAAAGTCAGTTTTCTGCAATGGAGTGTCACTGGATATATCAACCACACTCTAGGGCAGGTCTCAGGCCCAGAAGTAGTTGGCCATGATAAAAAAGGATCTCTCTCTCTTCCTTCCCCACCCACCCCCCACCCCCAGTATGTGTACTTTTGTTTTATTTGGGAATGTTTTGTTTTATTTTTTTGTTTTGATTTTTGGTTGGTTAGTTGGTTGGTTTGGGGGTGGGGGTTGAAAGACAGAATATGATGTAGAGGGGTGGAGAGATCTGGAAGGAATTGGTGCAGGGGAAAAAAACATGAAAAATATGATCAAAATATATTGTATGAAAAATACTTAAATAAAAATAAATAAATAATGGTACTTACAGAAGAGCACCAAACATTAATATATGATAAAAGAAGAAAATTTTTAAGGAAAGACCTGCATTACATATTGACCTTAATGACAGTACAGAAAGTACCTACTTTATCATTTAATAAATAATAACAAATAAATATCAAGGGCATAACTACAAACAGAAATACTGCTAACAGGAAGTAGGGCTGGAAAGGTAGGTTGGTAGGGTGTTTGCCTACCAGGCACAGAAGCCTTGACTTCAATCCCCATCATTGAGTCAAACAATGGTAAGTAATCCCAACCATCAGGAAGTAGACCGAGAGGATCACAAATTCAAGGTCACCCACCAACCCAGGTGGGCTACTAGAGACAGTCTCAAGACAAAGGGAAAGGATGCAGGGCTGGGGTAGTAATTAAGTTTCCTAGTAAAACAAAGCAGGCCTGAGTTGAATTTTGTTGTATTACCGATTTTGTAGAGAACTGTAAACATTACGTGTAAACTCGTAACACTAAAATGGGAAGAAGGGCCTAAAATTCTTAAACAACTAGGCAATACATTCCAAAACAAAGCATGACAGGTTACTAGGCCAGCAAGCTTCAAGAAAACTTAACTAGTGATTACGCTACATAGTTTAAAAAATAAAATAAAAAATTAAAAAAAAAAAAACACTTTTTTCTTTGTTTCCAATCTTAGAGACCTAAGGTCTTCAAACGCTAAGCATGCACCCTACCACGTGAACTATATTCCCAGCCTGAAACCGTAAGTTGTAGAGAGTAAACAGCCAGTAGCAGGGCAGAAATGGGAATACCAGGAATCCCTGCACTGGGAACACAGAGGCAGGTGGATCTTCTTGAGCTCCAGGCCAGCTACCATAAGAAGTTCCAGGTCGGGCAGGAATACACACAGTAAGACCCTGACTCAAAAAACCAAAAAATAAATTTTTAAAGCCACTAATTGTTAAGCACCAGGCTTTTAAATTAGACTATTAATAACCGTTGCCATAGAAACAGTGAATCTCTTCTCCCCCCGCCCCCTCCCCAGCGCGCGCCCTTTATAAGTGCAAAATTCAAGTGGGTGAAATAGGGCAAAGATTGGTGCCAACCCAAGTGGATCGAGCCTATCAAAAGCCTCTCCCGGGAACCGACTGCAATTCTAACTCAAGCTTTCTAAGCAGTGCTGGATAAATTACCAAGTGTGAATGACTGCACTGAGTTTTAAAAAAAAAAGAAAGAAAGAAGAGAAAAAAGTTTACCAAGTTTTCTTTGAGAACACCTAACCAAATGCAGTACGCGCGAGCTTGCCCAGCTCAGCCTCGCCGGCGGCTGCCTCCTGGGTCCACTACGAAGAAAGCATCCGAACTGAGCCCAGCTGCTATCACTGCCGAGCAGAGAACACCCAGTTCCAGCCCGGGCTAGCCCGCCTGCCTTCCCCGCAGCATTCCCACCGCACAACACGCCCTGTGCCTGGCAGCTCCCATGCCACAGCCAATCGCATTTATTAAGCGCCCACTGTCTACCCCGCATCATGGCTCCTCCGGGAACTGCACAAAGAAATGGCCTCAAGACGGAGGAAAGGGAGAGGAAAAGGTCATCGCGCCGGGGCCAAGAGCAAACACGAGTGAGGGGCGGGCTACCTGCTAACCTCGCGGGTCGGGGCAGCCGGACCCAAGGGAGGCCCGGAGGGCGCACAGGCCCGGCCTTCCCCGTGTCGGCCGCAGACGGCTGGGTCGGCGCCCCAAGGCCACCCAGGCGTGGCAGTCCGGAGCAGCAGCACCTGGGTTCGGCTCCCCGGAGGTCGGCGAGCGAGCTCCCGAACCCGGAGGGCCAGGATGGGCTGTCACGGCCGCCTCCTCCTGCCTCCCTCCCAGCTGATGGCCGTGCACCGCGGAGCGTCCAGGCCCGTGCGGCTGCCCTGCCGACACCGGCCGAGGCCGCCACTCCTGCCGCTCCGCCCGGACCGAGAAAGCGGTTTACCTGCGCCGCGGGCGGAGGCCCGGACACCACCCGGATGAGGAGAGGAAAGCGCGGCCTCCCCGGAGGCTTTTGGGATCTTTGGAAGACTTGTTCCGCACTAGGTGACAGCTGTTCGCTGCGCACGCGCACCGGGCGCCGCCGCGGGATCCCTCCGCCGCTTCCCCTCCCTCCCCGGCTCGCAGGCCGCCGCCGCGCAGGCTAGCTCGGCCTGCGTCTGGGGCACGCGCCCTCACGTGACCGCGGGGCCGGGCGCTCTCCGGGTCACGTGGGCTTCTAAACTGTTTAAAGGTACCCAGCACCTACCTAGGAGCTCAGACTTCCGCTCCCTGCTCAGTCCCACGTCCCTCTAGTGTCTTTCCTTTTGCCCTGGGGACAGGCGCGTCTGTCCTTTCCCCAAAGAGCAAAACAGTGGAAAAGCAGAAGGAACAGGTGCACAGATCTCTTCCCGAAGCAGTCCCTGGGTTCCCACAGGTCTGGACCTGAGATACTACCCGCTCCACAAGCCTGCCTAGACTCTGGATTCGGGTCTCGGAGCCAGGGTGACTGACTGATTTTTACAGAGAATCCCTGTCGGGGCGCGGGCAGGGGGTGGGGGGTGGGAGAAGGAGGGGGGAAAGAAAGAAAGAATTCAAAAGTTGCTGAGCATTGATCATAGGCACAAGTCTATTCTCTCAGCACTTGGTAGGTGAGTTCAAGGCCAGCCTGGTTACAGGTCAGCTGGAGGTACATAGTAAGACCTTGTCTTAAAAAGAAAAAAAGTCAAGGAACAGATCTAGTTTAAAAAATAACAGAAGTATGACAGATCCTGGGTTTTTAAAAAGAAAGAAAGAAAGAAAGAAAGAAAGAGAGA